AAGACTTCCTCCACCAAAGTCTTCCGCCGCGTTTTTTCTTCAATATATTCAGCCCCGCTATTCTTTAGCGGATTTAGGCCAAGGGGCCTAACAAATATAATGTATTACATTTCCGAAATGAACGACCCTACACCCCACCTCATCCCCAGCGCCTTCCGCGGTGAAACGCGTTCTCAGCTGAGCAGCAAGGACGTGTGGAAACTAGCGAAGACGGTCAGAAAGCAGGTTACGTCTGTCGCAAGTGTCGTGACCTACTTTCTTAGGCGCAAAAACAAAATTCGTTCATGTTCAAGTTTTCGCTGCTCCATCCTCAACTTCATCGTCACCCCCTCTCATCCGCTTGTGCAGCCCTCCGTTTCTCCCGTTGCAATATTCCATGTCGTTCCTTCATCGCGTTCCACCCATCGACCTCCGCGCATCCCGCTCTGCCCATCGACCTCCGCCCATCGCGCTAATGCATTTGCGCACCCATCGGGCATGGCTCGAGCGAATGCACGCCGATGGGCCTCGCCTCCGACGACGGTCGCTGCTGCGCCACCTCGCCGCCCCCCGCCCTTCCGCCACAAATTCCTGATGCATTATTGCGGATAGCCCGCCACGAGTTGTGTTGTGCCCTTCGCGACTCGCTCTCGCTACTCGCTCTCAGCAAATAAATCGCCTATGTGCGTCTTAGCACTCACAGTTGCACTTCTTCTCCTTCCCTTTCACCGCCTCTCTCACCTTACCGCGTCTCGCTCCTCCTGTCGATCGCACCTAGCTCATTCCTCTCAATCGCTCGTAATCCAGCACCAGGTATCACCGCCGGCACTACAACACTTATTCACGAAGGTTCGACTCTTCGGCGCGCGGCTGGAAAGAGGTTGAAGCCCGTTCGCCGTGGGCCTGCTTGTCGTCATGGCTCGCCGCGGACGGCCGTCTGTCGTTGGCGTCGTCGCACTCGTCGCCGGGCTCGCTGCGATCAGCCTCCTCGCGACCCACGCCAGCGCAGGTGAGCGCCGTCGTGCTCCCACTATCGCCACTCCCAGTGACTCGCGTTCACTCTTGCTCGCTCATCCGCTTGATTTTGACCACTCTTTTTGGTTGCACTCGTTCTTACAATGCTCTTGCTCTTGTTTGTGGGTGGTGTCGGAAAGTACGTGCGTGAGTGTTGGGGTGCGCGTGAGCGCAGCGCAGGGGTGTGGGTGAGTGCAATTTCTTACCTTTCCAACCCGCCTGCTCTGCTTCATCTCGAAACCGCCTCGACTACCCTGCAGACGCGTGTGCCACCGTGGATTGCGGGTCAGTCGCCTTCTGCTCTGCGGCCGATGATGGCAGCACGGAGTGCCTGTGCGACGGGGGTTATGTCTTCAACGTAACAGACAAGACATGCAATGGTGAGTGGTGGGAGTGTGGCACTGATGCACTATCGGCTGCATGGCTGAATGTCTCAGTGAGCTGCCCGTCGCCTGCCCAGAGTTTACAGCCACCTGCCATTCAGTATCTTTTGCTCCTTGACTTCCCCCCTCATTATTACTTCCACCCTCTCCTTCCCCCCTCATGCCCGTGGCAGATCCGTGCGCGGATGTGGCGGTGCAGTGTCCAGCGAGGGCGGAGTGCGTGGCGAGGAGGGGCAAGGCGGAGTGCGAGTGCGAGATGGGGTACATCCTGCAGAACAACACCTGCACTGGTGAGACTCAACCGCCTCCACGCAATCACATCTTCCCACGTCTCACGCTTCAACAACAGTAACCCCTGAGAAGCCCCCCTGAGAAGCCCCCCTGAGAGGCCCCCCTGAGAGGCCCCCCTGAGAGGCCCTGAAACATCACGCGCCTCATCCATGTTCGCTTCCGCCCCTCATTTCCCCCACACCCCACCCCACACCCTCTTGCCTTTGCATTCCGCTCTCTCCCCCCTCTGCTGCAACAACTCGACGGCACTGAATCCTGGGCATCACCACAACAACAACGTGCGGCGCCCACGGTGCAGATGGGCTGCTGCAGACGCAGGTGGAGGTGGAGGGGCTCACCTACCTCGCGCTCCTCACCTTCGAGAGCCCCGTGCCCATGGCGCACGCCACTGGCGCCATGGCGTGCAGCGACGTGGGTGATCTGGGCGGGGGCAGCAGCACGCGGATCAACGTGGAGTGGAAGTCGGTTGGCGTGGACACTGTGGGCACCGGCATGTGCAAGAGCCTCTCGTTTCACTCCGACCCCGGCTGTGCGGACAAGGCAGGATTGACCATCGCGCGCCCTGCCATGGTCGGCGGTGCCTTCCCCGTCACAAAAAGGTGAGCGACGGCACTGTGGTTTTGTCTGCTGTGCTGCTTGTGTTTCGAAGGAAGCATGCCAGTCAGTAAAGTTGTCTTGTTCAACGGTGTCCTCTGTGGTGTGCCCTCCCCTTTGCGCCTCACTCGCAGGACTGTGAAAGCAACCCCACCGCAGTCAATCAGCTGTGAGATCGGTAAGTGCGAGCGCAGAAACTTGTCCCGGGCACATGCGCATAGCCCTTGGAGTGTCTTCACCGTCACTGTGAATGCAGCAAGTGCACATAGGCAAGGAGGTTCAAGCACCTTCACCTCTCTTCTGGTTAAGCAAGGTGAACACACAGGCACTGCTCTCTGCACTCGATTCGCTGCCTCCCCATTCCATAGATGCCTCACGCCGCGAGAAACCTTTTTAATTTGTCCGGGCCGCATGCGCATAGTTGTTGGAGTATCAGCACCTTCACTCTGAACGCATGAAGTGCACATTGCGAAGGAGGTCAGGCACCTCACCTCGGGTTCCGAATAGTTGGAGACACGCACAGCTCTTTGCACTTGATTCTCCGCCTCCCCGTATCATGCCATGCCTTATTGACCCCATTCACCCCTTCCCCCTACATGCCTGGCTGGTGCGGTGCTGTCAACAACAGCCACGTGTCACAAGGACTGCGGCACTGCACAGTGCGTGGTGAGGGACGGCGTGTCTGAGTGCAAGTGCCCCTGGAGCCAGGTGTTCGACGAGGCGCACAAGCGCTGCACCAGCAAGTCGCCCGGCCCCACCCCTGGTATGTCGCTCTGTCTGCTATTGCATGTACCCAACGACAAGTAGCTGCCCCATCAGCCGTCCTTGTGTGCAGGCAGAAAGATGAACTCCCCAGGCCGAACCTCCTCCATTGAGAAGCCAGGCCGAACCTCCTCCATTGAGAAGCCAGGCCGAACCTCCTCCATTGAGAAGCCAGGCCGAACCTCCTCCATTGAGAAGCCAGGCCGAACCTCCTCCATTGAGAAGCCAGGCCGAACCTCCTCCATTGAGAAGCCAGGCCGAACCTCCTCCATTGAGAAGCCAGGCCGAACCTCCTCCATTGAGAAGCCAGGCCGAACCTCCTCCATTGAGAAGCCAGGCCGAACCTCCTCCATTGAGAAGCCAGGCCGAACCTCCTCCATTGAGAAGCCAGGCCGAACCTCCTCCATTGAGAAGCCAGGCCGAACCTCCTCCATTGAGAAGCCAGGCCGAACCTCCTCCATTGAGAAGCCAGGCCGAACCTCCTCCATTGAGAAGCCAGGCCGAACCTCCTCCATTGAGAAGCCAGGCCGAACCTCCTCCATTGAGAAGCCAGGCCGAACCTCCTCCATTGAGAAGCCAGGCCGAACCTCCTCCATTGAGAAGCCAGGCCGAACCTCCTCCATTGAGAAGCCAGGCCGAACCTCCTCCATTGAGAAGCCAGGCCGAACCTCCTCCATTGAGAAGCCAGGCCGAACCTCCTCCATTGAGAAGCCAGGCCGAACCTCCTCCATTGAGAAGCCAGGCCGAACCTCCTCCATTGAGAAGCCAGGCCGAACCTCCTCCATTGAGAAGCCAGGCCGAACCTCCTCCATTGAGAAGCCAGGCCGAACCTCCTCACAAATAATCATCATCTCACTCCTTCCCGCCCCCACCCACGGCAGACCCAAACCCTAGCGGAGGCGCGGACCCGTGTGAGGCAGTGAAGTGTGCGAGGAACTCGCAGTGCGTGGTGAGGAACGGGCAGCCCGTGTGCGAGTGTGATGCTGGCTACACCAAGGCCAACAAGGGCCTCTGCACTGGTGAGATCTACAAGGGTTCTGTTATTTTTTCTGATTGTCTCCGCACGAGCTCCAGAGGCAGCCCCACACCTAGAGGCAGCCCCACACCTAGAGGCAGCACATGAAATCACAGTGCTTCATGTCAGCCCAGCTTGAGTGTGTGTGTGTGTGCTATTGTGTGGCGTCCTCTTGGCCCTCACACGGGCGCTCCTTCCTCCTCGTCTGCTGCCCCACTCAGCCTCATGCTCTTTCCCCTCTCCTCCACGCACCACCTCGCACCACACCAGCTATCTGCAAGCCGGACTGCCCTGCCAATGGCCAGTGCGTGGTGGTGGGAGGGAAGCCCGTGTGTCGCTGCAAGGCGGGCTTCCGGCAGGGCAAGAGCACGTGCACACGTAAGGGCAGAAGGGCGAGGGAGAGCGAGCCCCCATTGTATTGTGCAGCGAGGGAGAGCGAGCCCCCGTTGTATCGTGCAGCGAGTGATTCAAGCCCCCGTTCTCCAACCGCTCCACTGCTCATTGTCTTTCCCCTCTCATCATCATATTGCGAGGAGAGCTGGTGTCTTTCGCCACCATGAATCGTTCTCATTCCCCGCCTGCTTGCTTGCCACCATGCGGTGTTCCATCTCGTTGCCTCTCACCCTCCAACCTTCCCATCTCTCCCACCCGACCCACCCGTCTGACAGCTGTGTGCAAGCCTACCTGCGGTGCCAATGCCCAATGCCTGGCGGTGAAAGGGAAGCCGGCGTGTCAGTGCAGCACGGGATTCAAGTCCATCAACAACAAGTGCACTCGTAAGGGCGAGGACAAATGTGCTATCCTCGTGTTTGTGTCACTCCCATAATTTCCACCTGCAGAACACCACGCGTGAATGAAGCTTTTGTCATCTGTGTTTGCTGCGCTGTAATGTAATCCCTCGGCCCTTCCCCGCTCATCCACCATCCTTCCCATCTCTCGCACCCAACGCACCCATTTGACAGCCGTGTGCAAGCCTGGCTGCTCTGCCAATGCCCAGTGCATGGCGGTGAAAGGGAAGCCGGCGTGTCAGTGCAACACGGGGTTCAAGTCAGTCAACAACAAGTGCACTCGTAAGAGAGGGAGATTGCTCTTCATTTTCTCTTCCATGCCTGTGAAGCTCCAGTGAACCCCATGCTCTTCCCTCTCTTCCAAAACCTTACCACCCACTTGCAAACATATGCTGTGTATGCTGCCTCTGCTCGATTCCCTTCATCTCTTCCTCACTTTTACTTTCATTCTTCCCCTCTCTCTCACCCACCCCACCCACCTCACAGCCGTGTGCAAGCCTGGCTGCTCTGCCAATGCCCAGTGCATGGCGGTTAAGGGCAAGCCGGCGTGTCAGTGCAGCACGGGGTTCCAGCTGGTCAACAACAAGTGCACTCGTAAGAGCGAGGGAGACGCGTATGCTCTCGCGATATTTCTCTCTTCCATGCGTGCCCAGCTCCAGTTAACCTCGTGCATGCGCTTCCCCCCTCGCTCACAACCTCTACCATCACAACCGCCTTGCATCCTATTCTCGTTGACCCACTCCTGCACCGCCCTTGTGCTTCCTCGTTTCTCTACGGTCTTCCATCTCCATGTAGTCATGCCTGGACGGCATTCCATTGACTCTCATACTGCTCTTCGCTTCCCACCACCCATCCACCCACTCAGCCAAATGAGCTGGATCCGCGTGAAGGCGATTCAAGGCTTCAATATGTGCTCTCAAGAGGCCGTGTTACTCAACAGCAGAGAAGAGGTGCAAGTGGCTGCATGTGGTGTGGTTGCTCGGAAGGCAGGAATGAAAGTTAGATGGCGGTGTGGAAGACCAAGTGTAGGGGGGGGGGGGGAGGGGGGATTTTAAAGTTTCTGTATTGTGCAATGATTATCGTCTCGTGTACCATAGACTTCAATTCTTCTTTGCATGTTACGGTATGTTTCTCTGTTTCTAATTATTCGCTCCACGTCTCCCTTTGGAACAAACAATGTAGCGATGGTGTGAAAAGGCAAGAAATAATTACTAGGCTGATGAGACCTGATAGACTTCTCATCACAGTGGCCTTGTATTGTAATGTGTGCACGAATAGTTGGAGGCGAGGAGACCTCGGTTGGTGTTGGGCAGAGAAAAGCCCTTAGGATCTTTCAAGGTTAAGACCCTGAGTAGGAATGTTTTAGTTGCGAAAGCGTTCTTATTAGTGAACTTGTTGAACCAACTTGCACTAGTGTGTGAGAGCAAGAGATTGATTATACCAGGGCAATACAAAGGTTTATTTATATGATTACAAGGAATATGAAAAGGTGCATCTAACTGTTTTGCTGTTGCGGTTCGATACAGTAACGACTCGAGCAACTGCTCAATACCGAGTCAGTTGTTTGTCCTTGCTGTCGCGCTGTACTTTGTCGAGTCAAAGGTCGCTGACCTTTGACCTTCGTGTAACCTCCAGCTGTTACTTTCTGTCAACCTCCTCGGTTGACTCGCCGTTGCTCCACTGTGATTCGCCTCATTTGCAGTCTATTGTTTCGACACAACAGAAGCGTTAAATTACTTGTTTCCAACACTCCCCTTCGCTTCTGGAGTGTCGATGCTGATGACGTGGCCTTGTCCAGTCAGCACCATGCAATACTCGAACTTCTGCTATCCGAGTTTCTTGGTCAAGTAATCGGCTGCCATCTCGGATGTGGGACAGTAGGATAGCTTGCGTCTCCCCTTCTCGATTCTGCCTTTTACGAAGAAGTACCGGAGGACGATGTGTTTCGTTCGATTCGCGAACCCGTTCTTGTTCGCTATGCGAATGGCCGATTGGTTGTCGCAGAACATGGAGAAGCTGGGTAACTGAGCCAGCTTTGCTTCTTCCAGTAGTTCGCGAAGGTACAATCCTTCCTTGGTGCCTGAGCAGAGTGCGATATATTCTTCTTCAGCTGAGGAAAGAGCAATTAGTTCTTGCTTGCTCGACTGCCACGAGATGGGGCCGATAGGTTCGAGTCGGTAGAGGTAGTTGGTGCGCGATCGCCTGTTGTCGGAGTCGCCGGCGTGATTAGCATCCACATAACCGATTAGCTTGTGTGTCGTAGTTCCGGTCTTGTGGTAGGTTAGACCGATCGTCGGGGTGCTGACGAGGTAGTGAAGTGCATGGTCGAGCTCCGCCATGTGATTTGCTTCAGGCTTCTTAAGGTAGGTGGCGAGTTGGCTAGCTGAGTAAGATAGGTCCGGTCGGCAGGTAACGCCTGCGAAGAGTAGACAGCCTAGCTTTCGTTGGTAGTCGCGAATGCCGGCGGATTTGAGTAGAGCGGAGGCTTCCTTGCGATTTCCGTCGGTGTAACGATATGGTGTAGTGATGGTAGCTGGGGTTAGTCCGAAGCGTTTGGCGATGGTGTCGGCGTATTTTGCAGCGCTCAGATAGACGTGTTCTCCCCTTCTTGTATGTTGAGTCCCAGGTACTGAGTTACGGTAGACGAGACGGTAAGCGTGGGGTTCCACTGCAGCTCCCCTTCGAACCAAGTCATGATGTCGTCAGTTGAGCCGATGTAGAGTAGGTCGTCTACGTAAACGATAAGCAGGATGTAGTCGGTCCCCTTAGTGAGTCGGTACATTCCTTGGTCATGCGGTAGTTGGCGGGATCCGATGCGAATTAGTCGGGCATGAAGATACTGCTGCCACAGCCTCGGAGCTTGCTTGATGCCGTACAATGATTTCAATAGCTGACAGACTTGATTGGGGTCTGTGTTAGAGCCGTGTGGTTGTTCGACGAAAATCTCAGCATCGACGGGAGCGTACAGAAAGGCGTTGGCGACGTCGATTTGGCGGAGCTTCTTCCGCTTCATGGCGGCTATCGCGAGAAGAATCCGTAGTGAGGTGTGTCGGCTAACTGGCGCGAAGGTTTCGGTGAACGCACGTACATATTGGAGTTGGAGCTAAATCCCGCGGTGAGGTTGGCGCTTCTGTGAACTTCGCGTGGAGTTGGAGTCAACTGCTGCGCAGGAGTCGGTGGAGTATCGTCGACGAAAACTGGTGCCGTTGAAGGACCCGCGATTGGTGTCATAGTCGGTGTTGCCTCGGTGCTGCCGGCGTTGTCTCTGCTGCTGCGAGTGTTGTCTCTGCTGCTGCCGGTGTTGTCTCTGCTTCTGCTGATGTTTTCTCTGCTGCTGCCGATGTTTGTTGAATTGTCACTAACGCTCTCGTTCGTTCAGCTTCATGTATAGAGTGCGAGTACCAGAAGCCTCCAGGACTGAAGCCGGGGTCGAGATCTAGCGGGTGTGTTCAAGAGGTGAAATTGACGATGGCAGTCACTGTCGGCGGTGCCTTGGTCTGGAACGAAGTCAAGAACGAAGACATTGTTCTATTAGACTGCCTTGCCGATGTAGAGCCCACGTTTCCCGTGGTACAGCTTGAACTCCTGGGTGGTGCTGTCTGCTTCGAGATGAATTCCCTTCGCCATTAGTTGATTGACGCTGAGTAAGTTATAGCCGAGTCCTTCTGCGATAAGAACCTTAAACATCTGCAGAATTACGTTGGTTTCTCGAGACTGAAGTTGAACTATCCCCTGTCGTCGTGTGCGCAGGTTCTGGTTGTTGGCGACGGTGATTACGACTTCGCGCTGAAGTTGGTGTTCCCGTTGAACGAAGCGACCTGATGAGCACATGTGCTGTCCGCAGCAGCTATCCAAGAACCAGGTGTCTTTCCCGGACGGCTCACTCTAGGCGATGGCTGCGTACGTCAGATTCGGCTCCAATGATTCATGGCGAGGGGTGCTTTCGTCGAGTTGTTCTTCTGGTGAGTAGTATGGTGGCGATCCGGTGATGCAGGAGTCTGTTGTTCTTGCCATGCAGCTTAGGATGTTTTTTGCGCCTTGTGCAGGTTTTGTCGTTGATGTCGTTGAGGACTGTACTTGATTGGTGGGATGCGCTTGTGTAGAAGCAACTTGACTGCTTGAGGGCCGAAGTTGACGTTGCAGCAGCGTTGACTGCTGTTGATTCGGGCAGTGTGTGCGAGGGTGTCCTGACATCTTGCAGAGATGGCAGAATGGTGGTACGTATTGTTGAGCTTGATGTTTGTTCTGTTGATTGGTGTTGTTGTATTGCCGTTGAGTGTGGAACGCGAACTCTGGTGCTGACGCTCTCTTCTTGTGTCGTTCTTCGTGTAGGTCCATGTACTGCTGTTCAGCGTGAATTCCGGCGCAGAGTGCTGCTTCGGAGATCTTCCCGTGAGCTTGGAGGATAGCTCGAGTGGAGCGCCAATGAGGACCGAGGCCAGTAATGACAACTGTCACCAAGGCTTCTTCGGATATCGATCCTCCGCATCGAAGGAGTCTGTCGCGCAGTCCACGATAGCGGCCGATATACGCCATCCCCTTTTCGCCGGGTTTCATTTCAGCTGTTGTCAGCTGTGCCATGAGACGACTTTGATTAACATTCTCTGTTGCTTGATGAGAAAATGAACGAGAATGAATTGACTAAGGGAAAGTTGGGTACAAGTACAAACCCTAGAAAGTCGTACCCCATATGTGCTACCCCACTATAGCCTACAACAGCTATGTCATATAAATCTGACACACCCCCATAGGCAAAGTGGGGGAGAACAAGGGGTCACAAGACCAGTCAAGCAAAGCAAAGCAAGCTCAGGGTGGATCACAAAGTCACCACACATTCCGAGCACAAGTTCAAGGCCACAAGGCCAGTTCACATGCAGGATTACATATATATATAAGGCTAGACAAGCAAGAGTAGGTGTATATATATATGCAACAGTACAAACAAGGTCAAGGGGTGAGCAAGTGAGGCAAGGTAGGCACAAGACCCAGCTGAGTACAGAAGCGCTGATGATCACAAGGCGCAAGTGCCTTGGTGAAGATATCAGTAGTGTTGGCCTTAGAGGCCACATACGCAAGGCGCAGCTGACCACGCTGCTGTAGCTCACGAGCAAGGAAGTAGCGAAGAGCAATGTGCTTCGTTCTGTGCTCTAGTCTCTGCTCCCGACACAAGGCCAGCATGGCCTTGTTGTCTACGTACAGCACTAGAGGAGAACGAGGCGGCTCTCCGAGGTTAGTCAGCAGGTAGGTGAGCCAGCGAAGCTCCTGTGCAGCCATGGCTCCTG